CTCTGGTTCCGCCCCTGGTCATGATCAACACCAGAAATTCCAATAAGAGCAGCCAGCATTAAATGGAAGAAACAGGATACAGAGTTCAGCAACATGGCCTTCGCGATCAAAGGCTCTAATTTTTCTGACACACATACCTTGAAAAGTAAGACCACCTATAAGGACCACGCAATTTAAAACATATAATGATCAATCTTATGCAAAGTGTTAAAAAATTAAAAGAATGTACAGCTCAGACTTCAGACAGAACACTCTTCATATGCCAAAATGTACCGGCAAGCCAACATGGCCGCTAATTGCCTTGCCACGATGGGCCACTCTCTGCCCTCTTTTGATGTTCATGTCTTTAACGTTTGCCCTAATGTTTTGTCCATGTACTATCATGTGGACCTGTTGGGAATGAAATTTCCCAGGCCCTAAGATGTACTACTTTGTTTAGTTAATCTAATTCTCTGTTTCACCAAAAAAAAAATGCTGCGGGTGAGAATGTTTGAACCTTCTGTGACAAGTTAACATCAGGATTAAGGGTATAAAAGATGCAGGGAGTAAAGTCATAAAGGGACCAGCGAATTAGTGGTTCTCAGCCACCAAACAGAGAAATTTATGTGGAATCAGAAGGAAATTAGACCACATGACACAGCTTTATGGCATCATGAACTATAAACTTTGAAACTGCAATCTTTAGGTAATCAATTCAGAACAACTAGGCTGCCATATTACCCACTATAAAGATGACAATTGCTCACCAAGCTACAATTAGAGCAGCTTTAATTAACAAAGCAGCCCATCTTTTCATATCTGTGTTTCCAATTAAACAAAGAAAATTGGAATCATTTACGATTTATAAATGCTGCCTATATATATTAGAATTATTAGCAAAATATTTATGATTTTATTTTACTCTTAATTATTTGTTTTGATGTAGTGCCTGTATATGGAGCTAGTTTTCCCAACTTACCTCCATAAATGGTAGTATTAGGCTTTTTTGCAATGTTTCAGATTGGCTTCTGGAACCAGGCTTGTGCATAAGAAGTAAGCATAAGAGTTAGAAGGGTAAGAGGGTGGCAATGGAGACTGACTAGCTGTTTGCATAATTTATTGTTGATATACAAGTATGTGAATAGAACACTGGCAATTTCATAGCTTGTTTGGATTGTAATGGCTTGGATACCTCTTGTAAATTTTTTCGATGTTCAAAAATAAAATAAAATAAAACCTCCATAAATGGTAGTATGACACCTCCTTACAAACCAAGACTTTCTTTAATGGCTTTTCCCTAATTTATATAGGGTGCCTTTGGGATAGTTACGAGATGTAGTTGCCGTACTTACAGTTGTGGCACTTTGGTTATTTTTTTAATCCCTTTCTCTAATCCCTTAAATTTTTATAATCTCTTTCTAAAATTCTAATCCCTTAAAGTTAATATCTTTCCACCCACATGCTACATCACTCAAACCTAAAACCTCTCTCCCTGGAACGCTGGCTATTTTTTTTTTTTGATGCACAGGGCACGCTGGCTATTTTTTTTATTGGTAAGGACACTAAACTACTTGTATTGGCTTAAACTTTATCTTCAGTATTTTGCAAAACCGTATCCTAATCAGTGAATATCAGTCAGAAGGTCATTCCTAGTACTACTAGGATTTGGTAGTTAATTTGTTTTTCCATAATTAATCAAAATCTCAATTATATATTCTCTTTCCTCTTTTTATACATGGATCCTAATTCTTAGGAACTTGAAATATACAGCGAAATTTCTATATATAATACGTACCCCTTATTACGCCCATTCATACAAACAAATTAAGAAACTACTGCAATACAGCCATGGATGCACCAAAGAAATTCAAATCCAACAACAAAACCAAGACAACCAAAGGCCGCCAGAAGGTCGAAATCAAGAAGGTTGAGAAGAAAAGCAATCTCCAGGTCACCTTCTCGAAGCGCCGCCAGGGTTTGTTCAAAAAAGCCAGTGAGCTCTGCGTGCTGTGTGGTGCTAAGGTCGGCATCATCGTCTTCTCTCCCAAGGACAAGCCCTTTTGCTTCGGCCACCCCGACGTCAACGCCGTCGTGGACCAATACCTCCTGGAAAACGAAAACCCGAGTTTTGAGGAACATAGGGATGTCTGCCGGTGCCACGAGTTGATTCCACTGAATAAGGAGTATGAGGAGGCGGTGATGGAATGGGAGCGGGAGAAGATGATTGCGGAAGCGATTAAGCAAGGGAAGATCAGATTTGAAGAGTTTTGGTGGGATAGGGATATTGATAGTATGGGGATGGAGGAGCTTGAGGAGTACGTTAACGCCATGGAAGAGATGAGGAATAGATTGGTGATGAGGGCCAATGAACTGATAACAATGGAGGTTGCAGCTGCCACTGCAGCAGCGAAGACAGAGGTGGCTGATGGTGAGATTGCAGATAATGGTTTTACCGATTCCCCTGATCCTGGTTTAGGTCCTTGTGGAGGTGTAGGTGTGCAGTTCTGATGGGAGGACGTTGCTGAAAACTTTTTTTTTTTTTTAATTGGTTTTCTGATTAGTACTAGTATCTATTAGTGTTGGTAGTACAACTAATAAAGAAAAAAAAAAAGAAGGGTGTATTTGATTGTCTCAATAAATTTTTGTTAGCATGGGTTCTGTTTCTTGTTTTGTGGTTTTGCTATGATCTGTGAAAAGGGAAAAAGATCATGAAATCTCTACTTGTCACTAGAGACATGGAATTTTCTTTCACTTAAAAACTATTTGGTATAATGATTTTATCAAATTTAATGAATAAAAATGTTTAAATTATTAATAATAATTATTATTA